TCTTTCTTTCTTTCTTTCTTTCTTTCTTTCTTTCTTTCTTTCTTTCTTTCTTTCTTTCTTTCTTTCTTTCTTTCTTTCTTTCTTTCTTTCCTGTCTTCCTGTTCTTCAGGGATAGTTCATAGTGTCAGTAGATGTTAAATTATAACCCTGGAAGCTTAGAATTATAGTAGAGCAAAGAATAAGACCCAAGCCCTCTTGTTTGCCTATGTGGTCTATTCCATGAGTTGCCTATGTCTCCTCAGACTTGTTTTCATATTATAATCATTTATTATATCTGTCTTGATATAACAAAGATAGTCATGCTACTGTTGCTCAGATCAATTCCAAATACATAGCACATAACAGGGGCCACATTACCTAAGAAGAGATCATGAGAACTACAATGGTGGAGAAATAGGTTGGTGAATCAAAGAGGCCAGGTACATGCAAGACTCTGGGTTCAATCTCAGAGTGGGGAAGAGGTGAGGAAATGTGGGAGGAAGAGAGAAGGGGAAGGAGGGAGAGAGGGAGGAAGAGGTGGAGGAGAGGAGGGAAGAGAAAGAGAGAGGGGGGAGGAACATGCGAGAGAGGAGGGAAGAGAGAAAGAGAACTATTAATGACCTAATTAAAATCGTGTGGGAATTTAGCCAGCAGGGAAAAAAAATGTGCTTCTAAACACTGCCTAATGAGATTTCAAGACTATTCAATGATAGAAGAAGAAATTGGTGTGCACACATATTAGGCTATCCAGGGTAAGACAGCATCGCACAATTCAGAATTTAATTTAATTTAAACCCAGTGTGCAAAGTGTGAAGTTAACAGTGTGACTTAAGCCTCTAAAAGGAAAGTTCTCCTTAGCAGAGGAGATGCAGCACTGTAGCTAAACTCACCTGAAGAAGCTGAACAGGAGCAACTGGTCACCTGTAAAGCCCACAGCACTCCTGTCTCAGGAGGACACAGGCAACACAGGGAGTTCTCAGCTCCTAGTAGCATTTAAAAAATGGTGTCAGCATTATTTTATATTCCAAAGGAATCATAATATGTGTTCCTTTGTGGTACCACATTTGTCAATTTCATGTTTGGATGAGCAATTGCTAACATTAAACTGTGCCTTGCACTGAATAACCTATTTATTGATTTATTTATTGAATAGCTTATGTATTAAGAGGTTGTTACTAATTGTGTTTTAAAATACAGACTTACAACTACACTTTATTTTTTAGTGTGTGTGAGTGTATGTGTGCATTCATGCACACACGTGCTTCAGCTTATAGGAATGGAAGGCAGCAACCTGTGGGAGTTGGTTCCCTATTGGATCACTATGGGTCCTTGAGGTCAAACTCAGAGCATCAGGTTTGGCAACAAAGCTCCTTCACCCACTAAGCCCTTAAATGTGGATGTTTAGATGGCCAGTTTGATAATATTAAAACATCAAATTAATTAAATTAACACATTAAATTAATATATCAACTGATGTGTAAATCTAATCATTCTTATCAATAAAAACCAGGAGTCAGATAATGGGGTAAAAACCTGAAAGATCAGAGAAGCAGAGGAACAGCCACCAGTGACTTCCTACATCTTCTGTTCCTCTGACCAAAAGGGCAGAGATCCTGTTTCAACCCCACCTTACCACTTCCTCTCCCTCTCTCTATGTCCTCCAAACAAAAATGCTTAGCTAGTGGCTAGCTCCATCCTCTGACTCCAAACAAGCTTTATTTATCAGAACACAATCAAAATATCACACAACATTTTTCCCTTTTTGTCTAAATAAAAAGCAAAGGTATTAACTAACATAGTAAACACATATACGGTGAGTAAAATAACTTTATACAAATATATAGGAAATAATTACGTTAACAATGTCTAGTCCATTAGCATTTGACAAATTTAGAGAAAATACTTCATTATCTATCTTGATAAGACCCAAGTGTTGTACCTAATTCACTTTCTATCCTAACCTGCCTTACCAACCCAAAACTATCTTTTTATGTCTCTCAACTTTATACAATTTACACTTCTTTTGTGAATTTGTCAACAAGGAAAATAATAACTGTCTAGTCTTCATCTCCATCATAGACCCGAGAAGGATGTAATATTACCTGAGTAAACAGGAAGTGCAGAGCAAACAACTTCCAAAACTAAGAAATGATAGAAACAGCTGGCTGCCTGGACAGTTACCCAAGGTTCCTCTGTAACATTGGAGCATCCATCTTTGGCCTGCACGCCTAGAATATCTGACAAACTTTTCTGAGAAGCAGGATTTTTGAAGGGCTGTCCTACCTTGTTCTGGCAAGTTTCTGGGGTCACTTTCTTTTGTGTCCTGCTTGTCCAATTTGGACAGCATACTGTCAGCAGTCAAAGCAAGAGCACTTCCTTTGTCCACATGGCTAGCTTTTGCCACTAAGAAAGTGAACTCTATATGGAGATTCTTCAATGCTCATCATCCTCTCTGAAGTAGATTGGTGCTGCCAGGAGCAGGCATGTTTCATTGTCATAAAAAAAGAACCTACGCTATTAAAACATATTAAATGCCATATTCTGTAGATCTCTGAAGTGTTTGGAGACCACCTGTCTATCTTAAAATATCTCTATTTAACTTGAAAACATACCTAACATGACTACAAGTTTGATTATAATATGTAGCTAACTACTAACCTGTATTTCTTTATTATCCTAAATAGTTTGAAATAATAACTTTCAAGGACTAGAAATTTACATCATATTGTTGAATGAGCTATATAGGTACAATATCCTGAACAAGAGTGGAAACATATGTACAATAGTTCTAACAAAAATAACCTTAAATTTGTTTCAATCTACAAAAATATCTTAAACAAGAGTGGAAATATATACAGTATAACAAAAATAATCTCAAATTTGTATCAGTGGAGTACTACTCAGCAGTAAGAAACAATGACATTGTGAAATTTGCAGGCAAATGGATAGAACTAAAGAATATCATCCTGAGTGAGGTAACCCAGACTCAGAGGGATAGACATAGTATGTACTCACTCATAAGTGGATACTGGATATAGAGCAAAGGATAACCAGACTACAACCCACATCTCCAGAGAAGTTAGCTGACAAGGAGGATCAAAGAGGAACACATGGGTCAGCCTGGAAATGAGAAATAGATGAGATCTCCATCAATATATAAAAATCCATATCAATGTAAAAAATGTAAGATTAGTAGTTGCTTTTTGGTTTAAAAGTAGATTCAATAATCTACCCTTTTATTCTATCATTTCTATATCCCCTTTTTTCTTTACAGAACAAGATCCCTGAATCTAATCTCCTTTGTTCAGCTTTTTTTCCTGACCATTACCAATAACAACTTGTAACTAACCCCCCTAAATCATGACAAATATCCATAACCCATTGAACAACCCAAAACCACCCACCTTCCTCTTGGGAATGCAGTCATCATGTTCTTAAAGTTACTTCCTGATGTCTGGGGATGATAGCATCTTTAGAGGACTCTGAAAATAAATGGGATAATTGTCAAGTCATGGGAGAGCTAGCTGTATCATTTGTTGTCCAGTCTCTGTAATGGGAAAGTGCAGGGCTTATCTCAAGTCCTGGCTAGAGTAGTCTGTGAGGCTGGACCACCTCAGCCAGCCACCTTGAAATTGTCCTGAGCAGTTTGTAGTCCAAAGGCAATCTTCAGGTGGCATTTGTCAGGTTAGTGGTGTTACCACAGAGTCCCAGTGGATTATTATTGTGTGGCCCCATCTTCCTTTTGGAGACTTCAAAGGTCACTGTGAGGCATGGTCATGGTTGACTGCAGAAAACTTAAATATTTTAAATTTCATATTCATCAGATCTCAAAGAGGTTAAAGGACCATAATTTGTTTTGTACATCCATAGTACAAAAACTTAATTCCTAGTGATCTGATAGATACTCAAACCCAAGATTATGTATAGGAAGCTAGATGAAGCCTTTTTCTTGAATTAGTATTCTATATTACCATTAATATCTTGATGAAAAGTTTAATGTATATACTAATTTTATAAATTGAGATAATATTTGTACCTTAAAAGTTTTAACAGTGTCAAAATAAAACCAAAAGATTATGATATTAGTAGCAATAGAATGGTCCCTTAATTTTGATTTTTCTTCTGTCCCATATCAGGTGGCTCTTCTGACATGAGACTGAGATTTTGGATTTTTCTTTTTAATAAGCATGCTTTGGTTTAGAGAAGGAGAGAGCCATGCTCCAATGCCAAAACCAGCTTAATTTTTAATTGGACTGGGCTACAAAAAGATCATTTGCATTATGCATCTGTAGAGAACAGCAGAAAGAAACATTTGGGAAGATTTATGAAATTTTATCTTGTAAATGTGATATACCAACAGGCCAATTTACTCTTTGTCTTGGGACATTTTCTCTTGATAACTTGTCCTTTTTCTTCAGATGTCTCCTCCTCGGTGAGTTTGCTTCTTTTTGTTCTAGAGCCTTCAGGTGTGCTGTTAAGTCACTATTGTGAGATTTCTCCACGTTCTTTATGTAGGTACATAGTGCTATAAACTTTCCTCTTAGCACTACTTTCATAGTGTCCCATAAGTTTGGAAATACTGTGCATTCATTTTTATTGAATTATAGGAAGTCTTTAATTTCTTTATTTCTTCCTTGACCCAGTGGTGATTCAGCTGAGCATTGTTCAATTTCCATGAGTTTGTAGGCTCTCTGCAATTTGTGTTGTTGTTGA